CTGCAATTCCCTGCAGCAGAGGAGGGCTCGTGAGAAGCATTAAGTGGATTCTTGGATGATGAACAAGATGACAACCACACAAAAATGGCAACACCAACAACTGGAGCCTTGCGAATGTGTCGCTACGGCTCCGAGGGCTGGAACCTAAATATTTATGCAAAGTGATAAATGTGGGGACATGGGCCGTATTTCCACAGGCTGCTTTCTGTGTGGCTGCTTGAGAGCCCTTCGGCCCAGGGAGCGCAGCGTGCTGAGAGCCGCACGTGTTTTCCAGCTGGCGAGCAGCCTGGCATGCAGCCTGGGACACGGGGCTGGGGACACACGGACAGCCTGGCCCACCCACTCCCTGCGCCCCTGGTGGGGCAGCCTCCTCCAGGCAGGGTGATGACGGGGCGATGAAGGGACAACCCCCCTGGGTCCCCTGGTGAGATGCCTCAAGCCTGGTGTCCACCATGCAGGAGCTGCTCAGCACCCCTGAGCCACCCCCACCTCTGCTGATGCCCTGGGGTCCCCATGTCCTGCTGAGCCCCTCACCTGTGAGCACGAGCCTCATGAGCGTGTCCCGGATGAAGGTGCTGTTGATAATGTCCCAAAACCACCTGAAGTGAGTCAGGATGAAGTGGTAGAAGGCAGGACTGGGCTTCAGCAGATCGTGCAGGCGCGTCCAGAACTCAGCTGGAGGAGACAGACCGGGCAAACCATTTGCCCCACTAACAAGGCCCACTAACAGACCCAGCCCACCCGTGCTAGTGGCAGTTGGTTCTGCAGGCACAGCGTGCCACTCCGGGACCCACAGGTGCCACGGGTCCTCTGGGTAAGAGGGACTTACGGGAGGTGCAGTTGGCCCCAGAGTACCCCGTCCGTGTGCAGTCACACTCGTATCCTCCCAGGCCGACCCTGACACACACCCCTTGGTGCTGGCAGGGGAAATAGCAACAGGGATTCACTGCAGGGAGAGAGAGATGTCATCATCCATCCACACCATCACCTTCTCTCGGGAAGTTAACATTCTCTGAAACACTCGGGATTGCCAAGGAACCATCTGCACCCCGGGTGCTGCAACACCCTGCCCCAGCTCGGGCTGTTGCTGCCGGGGCTGTGCCCTGCCCGGTGCCCCCCACCCCCGAGGGG